GGATATAGCTCGCTAGCAGCCTCGCACCGAGGACCTATCCACGTCATCATTTACCCAGAATGCTTTGTGTGGAAATAAAATGGCTCCGTCCGTGTTAAAATATATTTTTAAAATTTTAGTTTAAAAATGATAAAAACTAAACAGCCTACAGTATTTTTACAGTCTTTATTTACAGTTAAAATCTGTTTATCTAATAAAGTCTAATGTTACAACTAATCCTGGATCCGTTTAAAAGTCCTGCTGAGTGTCAGATCGATTGGTGGTTTTTGAGGCAGATCCTCCAAACGTTTTAGATTTTACACTGGATTCAGTCACGTCTTTGAGCACGGAGGCCTTCACACACCCAACCTCTGCTTCCTGTCACTTTTATTGCACGTTTAAAAATATATATTTGTTTGCAAAAAGTCACCTTTTATCACTTTGAATGAACCAAACTTTACTTTTTTTAACAATTGGGTAGTTTTTTTGGACTTTAGCTGCTTTTTGTAAAAAAAAAATCCTTTATTTGCACCTTGTGTTTCATAAATTTAAAACACCAGTTTACCTCCACTCTGCTTATCTGTGCCTTGTTGTGTCACATCAGAGGACTGAGGGTCATAAGTGAACTGTTTTCAGACGAATCAGTTAATTAAACAATTAAAGAGTCAAACGTTCAGAAAACTAACATTAGATTTAATCTAACTGTACATTTAAAACCACGTTTCAACATCCAGACATCAAAGTTTTGCCAGTCAGGAGCAGCTTGTTGATCCTTTTCAGAACATTTCTGTCATTTTATTAATCATTTTAAAGATATTAACATATTTAAATGTATTAAATAACATAAAAAACTTCATTGTTTGAAGGAAAACCCTTTAACAGTCGCTCCTGAAAATTCCTTAAAAGCTTTTAGACGTTTTTTTATTTTCTGTCGGGGTGTTGAACTAAAGGCAAGAGCTGAAAGAAGTCGTCTCACCCTAGTTTTCAAAATAAAAGCCCCTGGTATCGTCTGAAAACATTTAAAGGCAGAAACCTGTGTTTTTGCCCACTGGTAGAACAAAGATTAAGAGTTAACACAATCAGTTTGTACTGATTAGTTAGCCCTCAGAGTTTATGTTAGGGATGACTCTCAGCTACTACCACTCCGTTTTGTGTCTGGATGAGTCAAAGGTCAGAGTTAAAGGCTTTCCTCTGAAAACATTTGGGTAGGAGAACAAAATCAGATAAAGTCCACAAAACAGAAGAAGAAGAAGAAGAACTGGTGAAAACCAGTTTAAAAACTAAGAAAATCAAAACAAAGAAACCTTCGGGTTGCTTAAGACTTTTGCACAGTGAACCCTAAAGGTTAGTCACTTTTAAAAAAGTCATTCTGTAGTTCTCCATGTTTGCTGCACCGAGCACTTTATAAAACCTCACAGAATGAAGGCAAGGACTTCATCTTGTTTTTGTTTGATTCTGATCTTCAGCTCAGAAAGACCTCAGACGTTCTGGGTCTTAAAAAAAGGCCAGTAAAGGACGCAGAGCTGGTGTGTGAAGGTCTTTAATGTGCCTCCTTTACGTGACGTTACATGTTTATTTTAATTCAGGTTCAGTCCAGAGTCCCTCAGACTTTAGAGAAACGATCTGTTTCGTTTTTTTTTTTTTTTTTTAGAACTCTTATTTTGAAGGAGCGGTGTGTCATTCCACAGGTTGAATTGTTTTTCTTGACTCACAGTCACGTTTATTCCAGAAAAAAGAAAATAAAAGTCTGTAGTTGAATTATTAACCCCTCCTGACAGCAGAGACCAAGCTGGGGCGCTAATTCTTTAAATTTAATTAAATTTTAGAGGTAGAGCGTTTCTAACACTCCCACCATCCACTCGATGGGAACTAATCCGTTACGTCTGTAGAAAGTGTATTTATTTATTTTTAGACGTTTATTGTTGTTAGTCCCTTTTATTGTGTTTACAGGGCATTTTGATAAAAGTGCTTTACAATAAATTTAGATTTTTTTTTCACTTCTGTGTTTTGTTTTTTGGTTGTTTTTTGTCTCGTTGGTTTGTTTAATTTTTCTTTGTGGCGCTTCACTTCACGGTTCAGATAAATGGGTTTAGATTTCAGAATAAAACTGTAGAGAGAGCTAGTGATGCTAATTACTGAAAACTAACAATTTAATGCAGGTTTACATGTAATGAGAAAGAAACACAAAAGGTACAAATTAGCAGAAGGCACAATTTTATCTGAAATTGGAGGAAAATAAGCTAAAATTAGCAAAGAGAGAAGCTAAAATTAGCAAAGATTAACAAAGAAAGAAGCTAAAATTAGCAAAGATTAACAAAGAAAAACTAAAATTAGCAAAGAAGAAAGCTAAAATTAGCAAAGATAGAAGCTAAAGTTGGTAAAAAAGCTAAAATTGGTAAAGAAGCTAAAATTAGCAAAGATAGAAGCTAAAATTAGCAAAGAAAGAAGATAAAGTTGGCAAAGAAAAAACTAAAATTAGTAAAGAAGCTAAAATTAGCAAAGATTAACAAAGAAAGACGATAAAATTAGCAAAGATTAACAAAGAAAAACTAAAATTAGCAAAGATAGAAGCTAAAGTTGGTAAAAAAAAAAAAGCTAAAATTGGTAAAGAGGCTAAAATTAGCAAAGAGGTCATGCTGATGTTTCAGCACTGCGGCGCTGTGTTGCCGTGGTAACACAAGCTCCAGGTGGAGGCGGTCCCACTGGTAAGGATCCTGATCCTGGACCTCTGAGAACCTGAGGAACCAGCTGGACTCTTCATGTTTGATTTGAATCATTTTAGGACCTGATGAAGACCAGACCTGGTTTTTCAAGTCCTCATCTGGACTGCGACATGGTGGACTTTCTGTTCCTGGGACTGTGTCGGTTCTGTTAAATGGACCGGGTCAGAGGATCCCCTGAATGATATTTGTTTCATTTTGTATTTCTTCTTTTTATGATGGAAAATAAAATCTAAAAACAGTAAAAAGCTTCGTCTTTTTCAGGACTCCAGGTTCCAGGTGGGTCCTGTTAGCTGCTGGACCCCTGATCCGACAGTAAACGCTCCAGACCGGGTCAGAACCAGAACCAGTTTAATCCTGTCAAACATTAAGGTCTGAGATCAGTTTTCACGTCTCGTGGAAAAGATTAGGAAGCTGAAGAAAACACGGACTTTCACCTCGTAGTGAAACCAAACTGTTGCTCTGATGTCCGAGGACCAGGTACAGGAGGTTCTGTCCATGAGCAGGAACCAGCAGGTAAAACAAAAAGATTTAGCTATTTTATTTACTAAATGTTACATTTAAATGTTAAAAAATATATTTAAATATTAAATCTAAATGTAAAAGTTCACAAATGGATCACAGCCTTTGCTCTTGGTTCTCGGCTCATGTGATGATGTCATCATCCTGAGACCATAGCAGCCACTAGCTCTGATGCAGCTAAAGTGTCCCTACAAGACATCAAACTTGCACCCATGTTGTTTTTATCAACACTTTTTGATTTTATATGATCTACATTAGCGTCAGTGTTGTATAAAGTACCACAAAGTGATACTTAAGTAAAAGCACAAGTATCTTACCAAGAAATTACTTTGCTAAAAGCTAAAGTCTCCTTTAGGAATATTACTTGCGTCTTAAAGTATGTGATATTTGTTGTACTTAATAAAAGTCAAAGTATAGATTTAAGTACAGATACCCAAAAATGCTACTTAAGTACAGTAACAATGTATTTGTACTTAGTGTTAGCAGCGGCTAGCAGTGGACATTGTTTGTCTCAGGATGATGACATCATCCTGGTTATCTGACGCTAACCTGTGCTAACGCTGCTAACACTGCTAAAGATTATATTTAAAAACGAAATTCAACGAGTCCATCTACACTGCTGTAACCCTGATGATTCCTGACCGTCGTCTTATTCCGTCTTCTTCAGTTTGTTTTGGTGTTTACAGCCGATTAATCTGATAGTTTCTGCGAAACATCTCTGAGACTCTGCATTCATCTGATCCAGCAGGTTTGTTTATGTCCACAGATTGCAGCCGCCTGATGCAGCTCGTTCACACGACTCAAACTTCCACGCGGTTTGAGTTGAGTGCTTTGTTTACGTTTGGTGCGTACCTGCATTTCAGATCTGTTTACCAAAGCTCTATCAAACGGAGCCATCAGGAGAACCTT